CGAGCGCCTTTTGCGCAAAGCGAGTGAATTTTGAGCGGCCGATCCGAAGCGAGCTGTGTTTTAGTGGTTGCCCGAGAGTGCGAGATTATTCGGTGGGAACGGGGAGGGCCTTCCAGGACGCCGAGAGGGGAGGGGGAGGAGGGAGAGGAAGTACACTGTCGAGGGAGGCCGCAAAAAACCCGTTCCCTGGCTGCTATTTGAATAGCAGGACAGTGAAGACCAGTGCATTGAAGGTTACGTGCTGTGAACAGTCAGTGGCCTGGCTTTTTTGGCTAGTGATTCCTTGCTGGATGACAGCCTGGATACCTCCAGTTCCGCGGGCTTGCACAACGGTTGCGCGTGTCATTTCCTCCCTCTCTTTGCGCAGTGACACGCACTCACCATTGTGTTTTCAACACTTTTGTGATTAACGCACATCTGGGCGACTGAAGGCGCTCGCTGTTTTGATTTCCGGTTTGAGATTGAGCAGTACTGAGAATTTAGTGCTTATCGTACTGCTTGCCGCACGATAGATAAATCGACGCGAAATGCTTTCAGGTGCTTGACACACGAAGCTGAAAAAACTTCTGCGGTTGTTTGGGCGAAATGGTCGACTCTACGGGACTAGTCTGCGCCAGAATAGAAAATTTGTTCGCCGTCTTCGTGCCAGGTTTCGCTTCAGCACTTCCTTTTCTGGACATTCAGTTTCGGTCACCTCATGGAGACCGCAAACATAATAGGAGTTAGTGCGATTACGCATGCGTTTTGTGCAACTCTGTCCAGCGGACACTTGTGCAACTCTCTCCAAGTGTTCACTGTTTTTTACTGTTCGATATGTATAGAAATTTTTTTGGTCCTCATTTTATCAATTTTGGCAGCAAAACTCATACGTGTCCGCACGTGAGACCTGGATATGTGCAGGGACTGAATTCGTATGTGGGCAAGGATCATTATTCCGAAATTTCAGCCTTTTGTTTCCCGAATCAATAATTTTTATGCCAAAACTTTCACGTGCCTGTACGTGAGGCCCAGGCGTGCGTGAAGGTTGAATTTAAATTTACAGAATCACATGCAGATAAGAACCATTCTCCTAAAATTTCAGCTTTCTAACTTCTGCGATTTCCGAGTTATTAATTTCGATGTCGCGCCCCTACGTGAAACTTAGGCATGCTTGAGGGCTATATTTGTATTTGCGGGGTCAAACGTGGCAAGACTCTGTCTTAAAGTCTCAGCTTCCTAGCTTTTGTGCTTCCCGAGTTGTTAATTTAGGCGCCAAAATTTTTGCATGATCGTGCATGAGGCGTAGGCGTACGCAGGCGCTGAGTTTAAGCTTGCGTGATCACACGCAAAGAGAGGATTCCCTTTTAAAATCCTAGCTTCCTATCTCCTCTGGTTCTCGAGTTAAAACGCAATAGAACACACCAGAGTCTCGACAGTATGCGTTTTGCGCAAGTGTTGAGGCAAAAAACGCATAAAAACGGGAAGTAGTGCAGTGTGGACGCCGATTCGGCCGAGGACAAGGCGCA